TTGTAAAATAGTGAAAAATAAACTTAATTTCAATAGGTTTTATAAAAGAAAATCTAAACTTGATTTAAATAGAAGTAGAAAAATCTAATTATTTGGAAATATGTGGTATAATTTAATTGAGATGATGAAAATTAAATCTAATATAAGTAGGATTAAAAATCTAAATGTAATTTAAATAAGATTAAGAAAATTTAATTATTTGGATTTATTTGAAAGAATTAATTCAATATCAAATAATATAATAAATAAATATGAGAATAAAATAAATAACTATTTGATATATTTCTCTATAAGAGTTTTGTTGACATTCTCAATTTTATTTTATCACTTCATGGGGGTGACTTAATTTTGTCTTCCATGTTTTTCGTGTTTGATTTGTGGTAAAAATAGTTCAAATATAAATATGGGAATAAATTTATCAACATTTTGAAAAATAGATATTTAAGTAGTAAAATATAAAAAAATAAAAAGGTATAGTACAAATACAAATATGAGAATAAATTTATCAACATTTTTAAAAAATATTTATTTAAGTAATAAAATAGAAAAAATAAAATAAAAAGGTACACCTAATTTAAATATGAATAACAAATAATTTGATAAGATGTGATAAAATTTAATTCTAAATCAAACAACAAAAGCATCAAAATTAATAAATAAATGTTATGCTTTCCAATTAGTAGTTTTTCAATAACGTTGTCACTTTTATTTTATTTATTTTCACGGGTGATCCAATTTTTTCTGTACAACTAAATATTTTTTTCCACCAATTTATGAGATATTAAATTAAAGAAAACCCGCATATATGCGGATCTTTTACATAAAGAGAGAATTAATAACATAATTTTAGGGTACATATCAAAGAAGAGAAAATAGATGAGAAGGAAATATTATATTCTGATCAATATAGTAGTCAAGTTTATCACATAAAATATTAGAGAGATTTTAAAAAATGCCACTTTTCAAGTGCCATTTTACAAAAATACCACATTTTTACAATCTTTATAAAAATGCCATATTTTCAAAATTATTTATTCATTATATCATTTATGTTTGGGTTAACTATATTGTATTATGGTTTAGTTTTAAGGGTTTAAGGAGTTTTAAGTGTCAAAAGATTTTCTAGGGTTTAGAATTTTAAGATTTAAACTCTAAAAAATCATAATTAGTGGCATTTTTGCAAATGGACACTAAAAGTGACATTTTTACAAATGTGGACACAAAAAGTAGCATTTTTGCAAATGTCCCAAAATATTATCATAATTATGTCATATATAATTCGTGATTGTCGAATCCATCGGTGAAAGACGATATGGTGCGTCAAAATTGCAGCTGAGACTAGATACCATTGGAACTTAACACCTCACGAACTCTGAAAAATCTACGTACGTTAATACAAGTAGGGTCAAAATAATTAACCGTGTTCGGTTTACGTAAATACAAATGGTATATGTTTGCTTTTTTTTTTTTTTTGGTAAACTGGTATATATTTGTTTGTTAACTCTAACGTATTCGTTTCTTGAAAAAAAGCGTGATTAATTAACTAATTGCATTTACATATTCATATAGAAAATGTCTCAATACCATTTAACTTAATGAAAGAATCAATTTCTATAAGGAATCATGTCATTTAGTATTACGAAATTGTAACAACTAACAAGCACAGGCTGTTTCCCTTAACTTTTTAATCTTAAAGTTGGCCCGTCTCAAAATTGTAGCGGTTCAAAGTCATTCACTCTTGCTTTTTCCATCTTTTGTTCTGCTATAAGCATTTTTCATATTTAACTATATTATTTCGAAGCTTCTTTTGTTTCTTCCTACCCCAAAAGTGAATCTTTACAAGAAAAGGTGAGATATTATTCTCTCTGATTGATCAGTAGCACAATCTTGGTTCTATATAATTCTTTTTTCATAAACTAAAGAAGAGATACCGTAATTAAACAATAACAAGG